GACATGGACAACATGGGACCAGTCGATGTTCAGAGGTTGCCTGACGCCGCCAAGTTCGAGCTGCTCGATGTCATGGTAGATATCGAGCGCAGCGGGATGTAGCCCGAGCAGCTCTTCATGGTGGTGTCTGAGGTCGCCCCCAAGCCAAGGGGGAGCGATCGCGATCGCATCTTGGGCCTGCTGCCCTTTCTAGCTAAGCTGTGGAGCAAGATGAGGAGCGCTGATTCTCTTTCGTGGGTGGTTGACGCTGGCGAACATTGGGACACGTCCATACGAGGTTCGTCGGCTGTGCAGGCTGCCCTCATCCGCTCCCTGATGGATGAGACCTGTAAGGAACTGCAGATCTCAACTGCGACTATTTTATTGGACCTGGAGAAGTTCTACGATAGCATCTCTATCGTGTCGATGTGTGCGGCTGGGATTAAGCAGGGCATCCCTGCCATTATCCTGGCACTGGAACTCCAGCTGTTCCTGGCGCTGAGGCACTTGAAGGATAGAGTGTGGCTGAGCAAGGCCATCCAGCTAGAGAAGAGTCTTGTGGCAGGCTCGCTGCATGGAGGACGTCTGGCGAAGCTTTCCTTCGGCCTATTCTTGCTTGGGCTCACTCTCGATATGGGATGAGCATCCTCTTGTGCACTTTCGTTGACGACACGGTGGCCCGAACCAAGGGCACCGAAAAGCGATTTGGTGTTATTTGGATTGATGCTGGGTCTTCTCTTGGAGCGGAGTTCAAGGCGGCGGGTTGAACGAAAAGCCCCAAGACGGTCGTCGTTGTCTTCGAAGCTGGCTGCACATATTGCGTCTGGTCTTCAGCGTGCTGATGTCCACGCCGGGGCGGTCCGACACGCAGTCGACCTGGGGGCTGACACCTCGGCGGGGAAGTGCCGTTCGAGGCACAAGGCCAGGGACCGCTTCACCAGGGCCAAGAAACGCTCCCTGGCCATCAAGTGCATGCGTCGGCGCGCTCGCCTGCGCGCCACCATTCGCTCCCTCTGTGGTCCATGGGTGCGAAGCCGCAAGGCACCTACTCGCACCAGACCTTCGGCGTCCCAGGCTACGAGATGGTGCAGCTGAGGAGGCAGGCTGCTCAGTCTGAACTTGACACTGGACCAGGCAATTGCTTGACGACGTCACTTGCTGCTGCTTCTGATCGGTGGGACCCTGCTAAGAGTATTCGGCGTGAGCAGATACTGGCTTGGCTGAAGAGATGGCGTGAGTGCTCTAACCTGCATCGTCGGGCGGCAAGGACTTGGGAGTGCAGTCGATCACGTCTCCGCATCGCGGGCTCTCGGCGATGGAGGATCGTCAAGGGGCCCGTCGCGCCGACGATTGCCACTCTGGTCGTCGTCGGCTGGGGCCCGCGTAGCCCCATGGAGTGGATTTCGGACCAGGCGGTGTTCTGGCGGGTACTTTCGATCGTCGATGCTGAGTTCGACCCTCTCCACGGCGACTTCGCCGACATCTTAGACGACATCGAGGACTCCGTGGACCGCCCGCTCTGGGCCACCGCCTCGTTGCACGACGCTGCTGCTGACCTCCGCGACGGCGCCGATGCGCATCGGGGGAGCGTGAGACCCGGGTTTGCCAGGACTCGGGTTCGCCATCGTTTTTTGACGACCGCGCTTCGGGTTTTGACGAGGAGGAGTTTCGTGGGATGTCTGCAGCGGGAGGCCTCGCCAAAATGCAGGCTCGGCCTCGTCATTTGTTTGACGACCTCGTCGGGTATTTCCGAGTCCCCTGTGCCCAGGTCTTACGTCCCCTTGAATGTATCAGGTCTGCCGCGAGTTCCACAGGCTGGAGCCCGACGGCGACCTAGACCGATGGGCCCTGCACGCCGTGGTCGTCGCCAGTGGGCAGTGGCCCCGTGGGCGCCAGCGCGCCGCGGGCGACGTCCTCTCACCCACGAGCCGGCGGTGTCTAAAGGAGCCCGAGGATCTTTTCCATCGGGTTTGGAGTTGCGAGGCCAACAGAGGCCGCGCATATTCCCTACCTAGGCTCTGCCTAGAAGGGTTCTTACTCTCTTTGCTTAAAGGGCCGGGCAATGCTAACCGCCCTGGGCGGTTCCCCCAGTCCCCGCCCCGCGGTTCCCCCAGTCCCCTGGGAGCTTTAGCCTTAGCTTTAGCTTTAGCACAGCTTTAGCTTTAGCTTTAGCTGTAGCTTAGCTTGAGCTTAGCTTGAGCTTAGCTTTAGCTTAGCTTTAGCTTAGCTTCAGCTTAGCTTTAGCTTAGCTTCAGCTTAGCTTTAGCTTAGCTTTCGCTTAGCGTTAGCTTAGCTTTCGCTTAACTGTAGCTTAGCTTCAGCTTAGTGTTATTAGCTTAGCTTTAGCTTAGTCTTAGCTTAGCTTTCGCTTAGCTTTAGCTCAGCTTTAGCTTAGCTTCAGCTTAGCTTTAGCTTTAGCTTAGCTTCAGCGTAGTGTTAGCTTAGCTTTAGCTTAGCTTTAGCTTAGCTTCAGCTTAGTGTTAGCTTAGCTTTATTTTAGCTGCAGCTTAGCTTTAGCTTAGCTTTAGCTTAGCTTCAGCTCAGCTTTAGCTTAGCCTTAGCTTAGCTTCAGCTTAGCTTTAGCTTAGCTTGAGCTTAGCTTTAGCTTAGCTTTCGCTTAGCGTTAGCTTAGCTGTAGTTTAGCTTTAGTTTAGATGCAGCTTAGCTTTAGCTTAGCTTTAGCTTAGTAGCTTAGCTCTAGCTTAGCGTAGCTTAGCTTTAGCTTAGCTTTCGGTTAGCTTCAGCTTAGCCTTAGCTTAGCCTTAGCTTAGCTTTAGCTTTAGCTTAGCTTTAGCTTAGCTTTAGCTTAGCTTTAGCTTACCTTTATCTTTAGCTTCAGCTCAGCTTTAGCTTAGCTTTAGCTTTAGCTTTAGCTTAGCTTTAGCTTAGCTTCAGCTTAGCTTTAGCTTAGCTTTAGCTTAGTGTTAGCTTAGCCTTAGCTTAGCTTTAGCTTAGCTTTAGCTTTGCTTTAGCTCAGCTTTAGCCCAGCTTTAGCTTAGCTTTAGCTTAGCTTTAGCTCAGCTTTCGCTTAGCTTTACTGCTACTACTAATGCTGCTTTCCTAGGGGCTCCAACTCCTAGGTTGGGCCGCACTGGGATAATTTTGACTCTGGCGAGCACCTCGTCGAGCGAGCCAGCGTGAGCCAGCATAGCTGCCCCAGCTTTTGGTTGCGTGGAGTCCCAGGCCGAGCCGGAACGGCCGCTCGGTTCGAGGACAAACCGCCCGCCCGCCTGTCTGTTGGATCCCTTGATGCCGTCCCCCGCGACGCCGAAGGCTACGTCGCCTTGGTCGGGGATGGGTCGGGCGGGAGGTTCCCGGGCGACTTTCTGCGCCGACGGGTCGGCGCAGGGCTTGTTGCCTTGGTTCCCTCTGGCGATTTGTGGGGGAGCCTGTGTGGGGCCTCGGTTGCTCGATCGAGGGCCGAGGGCAAACTGCTCCTAGAGCGGAGATAGCGGCGCTCGCGGAGGCCTCGGACGCCACGGTTGGGGGCCTCCGCTTTAGTGCGGATTACCGTCCTCTGCTGGGCTCCCGGGCCAAAGGCCTTGGCTCGCTCGGGGCGCCTGAGAGCGGCCGAGGGCGGCCAACACCTCGACCCTTTTGGGCCAGGGTCCAAAAGGCGGTGGGGGCTCGAGGCCCAGGCGCCGTCGGGCTGACATGGGCCCCGTGTCACCTGGAGAACGCGACCGCTTCCCGCCGGGACATGGTTCATGCTTTCGGCAACGAGTGTGCGGATGCCCTGGCGGCTGAAGCAGCTGAGCGCGGCTGGGCCGAATTCGCGATCGCCCCCCCCCCCCTCCCCCCCGCGGACCGACGGGGCGCGGAGGCCGCCCTTGAGCGGGGGAGGGCGCCTCGAGCTCTGGCGGCGAGGATCCAGGCTGACCCATGGGCCGCCGAGCGCCCCGACCGTGAGGGGCCCCTTCCCTTCCCAAGCTTGCGCAGGCTTTGCAGTCGTCCGAGCATTCTTGGGGTCGCGCTGGTGCTAAATACTTCTGCCGTAGATGTAACCTGTTCTCGAATCAGGATTCGATTTTCCAGATGTGTGCTTTTTTTGCCCGCAATGCTCCAGCTGCATTCTGCACGGTCTGCGGCAAGAGTTGTACTGCAGACCCTCGTCAATTAACCGAGATGTGCGAGCCGTCCCCGAAGGGGCGACAACATCCTGTCAAAATTCGAGCTGGCAAGTTCCCCCATCCGCCTGTACCTCCAAAGGCTGTCCGCGATGCTGAGTCTCAGGGTCTCGTGAACTCACCTCGCATGAAAGCGCCATAGTGCAGTTTCTGTTCGTACTGTCCGTTGCCAATTCGATGGGCTTCGCCATCCCTCCGAATCCTCGATTTTTGCTGTCTTCATCCTGAAACGTTCCTGAAACGTTCCTCCTCCTCCTCCTCCTCCCCCTCCTCCTCCTTCTCCTCCTCCTCCTCCTCCTCCCCTTCATCCCCCTCCCCCTTTTACCTATGGTGGCGGTGGTGGAAAATCGGCCCAGCGCTCCCGATCCCGCCAGGACCCCCGGCGCGTGGTCGCTGCTGCCGCGGGCCCTGTGGAGGGTTTTCTCGCGGGCCAGGCGGGCCCGCGCCCGTGTCGCGCGCCGAGCTGCCGACGCCTTCCGAGCGAGACAGGGCGCTATGTGAGGGCCCTCCCTCTGCCGCGCGGCAGACGCTTGAGCCAAAATGGCGACGGACGCCTCCTGCTCCTTCCCTCCTCGTCCTCCTGCTGCTTGTCCCTTCTCCCTCTTCCTTCCTCCTCTGCCCTTCCCTCCTCCTCCTCCTCCTCCTCCTCCTCCTTTTCCTCCTCCTCCTCCTCCTCCTCCTCCGCCCTCCTCCCCCTTCCTCCTCCTCCTCCTCCGCCTCCTCCTTCTCCTCCTCCTCCTCCTCTTCCTCCTCCCCTCCCCCTCTTCCTCCTCCTCCTCCTCCTCCCCCTCCTCCTCCCTCTCCTCCTTTCCCTCCTCCTCCTCCTCCTCCTCCTCCTCCTCCTCCTCGTCTTCCCCGAGGGTAGCGCGCGCACGTCCGTGCACGCACCGCTGACTACGGGCCCAGGGCCACCACTGAGGTGCGCACCTTAGCCCCCTTCACATGAGGGACGTAGCCCCCCTCCATGGCCCTTATGGCCCGAGCCCCGTGGACCCCTGGCTTCGTGCAGGGTCGGGACAGAGATTTGAGCTGCACCGACGTGGCAGCACCGCAGACCTGGCACCCGACCGCCGCAAAGTGGTTACGGTCGAGCGCCTGATCCGTGACAACACGCACAAGCTTGTGGCCGTTGAGTCCGTCGGCGATGATCCGACGGTTGGCCTCCGCGGCCCGCGACGCGACGGCGCCAGGGCACTCCGCCTTCGAGGGCGAGGGGACACGGCACCGCGCACACCACTTGGCCCCCTCGGGGCCCACCAGCTCGTGCCCAAGCTTGGGGTAAACCAGCTGCAGCACTGGCGCCTTGTTCGGCCTGGCGCCAGGCCTCAACAAAACTGTATCACACGAATCCACGGAGGCCCCAGCTCGCGCGATGAAGTGAGCAACGTCCTCCACGAGAACCTGCGCGAGCTGGAGCTTCTCGCGATCAGCAGCCGCCAGCCTGCCTTGGCTGGCCGCAAACTTCGCCCAGATGTCAGCAGAAGCATTCCCGAACCGATCGCGGCGCGAAATCCGACCGCGCAGCGCATCAGCTTCGGAGAGATGGGCGCGAACCCTCCGAACCTGGAGCCCCTGGGGCCCAATCCCACCAAAGTCGTCCAGGGCGGCCCAAAACATACGCCAGAGCTCAGCCCAGGCCGTGGCATGGGTCGTAGTCCCTTGAGGACCACGCTCTATGCCGTCAGCAACAAACTTCGAGTCAGTGACCGCGCATATAGGCGGCACCGAGATTCGCAGCAGCTTCGCTAGTGCAAGCAGCTCTGCGCCATCGATGTCGCGGTAGGCAAACGGCAACCTGCCATGTACCACGTCGTTGGCACACAGCGGGTCGGCTTCATGCAGCACCGCAATCGCCCACCCCGCCGAACTCACCCCGTCCCACCCACCATCGAAAAGCGAGCCGTCCAAGAACGCTTCGCGGGCACATAAAATACCGCCTCCAGCGTGCACCTGCCACGTCTCGCAATCACAATCGGGGACTCTGAATGAGCCGGGCGCGGGGGGCGACGGCCGCAGCCCACGCTCTAACAAGCACTGTGCCTGCGGGCAGGGCAGCCTCGCAAGCAGCATCTGAAACCTGTCAGGCATGGGGGGGCGCTCGCCTTTCGCGATCTCCCCGGTGCATTCGCAGTGGCGGTGGACCAGGAACCCAATTCCAGGACAGAGAAGGCACCCAGACGAAGCGACGAAACCAGCTTCGCGCGTCCTCGCCATCGGGCACTGCCCATTAAGCAAAACGCTCCTAAGGTATGCACGCTCTTGCACGGTCAAGCTGCCTAAGTCTCTACACTGGTGGCTCTGGGGCCGTGAGCGTTTCAGAAGTCGAAGAAGGGACGCCATCGCAGCACCTTTGCCCAAATGTTCGTACCCATCAGCACCAGCAACTTTGGCCCACTGCCAGGCCTCTATCCCACGGACCAGGAGTTTCCTGAGGTACCAGACCAACACGTCCCGAACATTCACCGAGACGCCATCGTGCGCGATCCAGGTGAGCACATCATGGCCCGAGAACTTCCAGGATATCCGATCGAGGGGCAGCTTGACGGCTCCGAAGGGACCCTGGACCTGGGGCCACATCCGAACCTTCTTGGCCTCCAGAAGTCCGTCCGAGACGACCTTCATGGGTATGCAAGATCCCCACAGAGCCCGCGCAAGAGCCAGGACAGGGAGCAGTGTGGCACGAAAAATCGGGTCAAGCTCCTTGACCAGCATGAGCGCCATCGTCCTGGACTTCCCTGCGCCATGCCTCTCGATCGCCGAGAACCTGAGACTACGAACCGAATCCAGCTCCGTAGCCGAGGTACCAGTTACCGACGCCCCATAAGTGACCCCAGCCTCCATACCTGCACGTGCCACGAGCTGAGCCGCCACTCTCTTTCGGGGCCCACAACAAAATCGCCGAAGTCGATGAATGTTTGATCGTGCCGAACGAAGTCGCTCGTGTCGGACACGCCGAAGCACACGACGCCCACAGGTGAAATCGACTCCGAGGTTTCTTTCATGACGCGGCGCCCGGGCCCCATTGCGAACGAGTTGCCGAGCAGTGTCCGATCGCACCTCGCAACTGCTTGCCATCGCGCGCGTCTTGTCGCCATGTAGCTGTAGTTGGCGCAAATCCAGCTCACGTTGCACAACTTTTGACGCCTGTACGATCTCACGTGTAACTGCCTTACATGACCCAACCCTATGCAAGACAGCATCGTCGACCACCACGAACGGAGCCACCGACCGTCCGGGGGGCCATGCTCGATCGAGGGGTTAGAGCAGGGCGAGCTTGAGGAACGTGGTAGCCCACCCGTCGCCAGGCAGAATGGTCTGATCGACTTGCAGCTCGTCCGACACCGCGGTGCCGAGGGTGAGGAACCTTGGTGCTCTGTACAGGAGAATCTGGAGCCGCAGCTGCCACAGGGGGAAGCCTGTTCTCATCGCCGCCTCCAGGAGCCAATGGTGCTTAACCTGTTCGAAAGCTTCTAGCAGGTCCATCGTCACCTGGGCCGACGTCCACAGGCCCGCCTGGGATCCTTTACCTTTCGCGGTGGCCCACTCGGACCAGGCCGACTGCTGCCAAACCGCTCGTTCGCATGATTTCCCAGGAGCAGCCCAAAAGTAGTGCCGATAATTCTTCGCCCCCCACTCTTTCGCGACAGGCATTCTCAATCTGGCTTGGACCCTGGCGACGACATGGAGCAGCGCGATGGGGCGAACCCCGCCCAATCGCATGGCCAAGAAGGCAATCTTCGTGATCAGCGTCGGCCACTCGGCCGCGGCCTCGATGGCCGTGACCAGGTCAATCAAACATCCGACCGCGGAGTCGCACAGCTCGGGTAGTTGCCTCGGCCTGATGGCGCAGAACCCCATCCCAGACATGGGCTTGAAGGACCTCAGGACCCTGCGCAGGTAGTCGAGCGTTGGCCGAGGGGGCCTCTCCCCAAGATCCCCAGGCCAGCTGAGTATGGGGTGCTTCTCCCCCAACTTCCACCAACGACTCCATGTTTTCTGCAACTCATCAACCTCTTGCTGCTTGTTGAGGGGCATGGTGGGGTCTTCGGAGTCCATGGAGCTACTCTGCCAGCCTTGGGGGTCCTTAGAAACGCGTGAAGCCCACCTGCCCGTCCCGCAGACTGCTCCGAGACCCACCTCCTGAATTTGGCAGCCCGGCGCTGCAAATCACGTCGGGCCACTCGCGAGGCCCCCCTCTTGATCTCCTGACTCATGATGTAGACCACCTTCGGGCCCAGGTCCCAGACGGGGAGGAAGGTGACCAGGGCCCGCCAGAGGTTGCCAATCGAGGGCCCACCCAGTCGAACACATCCTGGAGCATCCCGAGTCAGCTTGCCCACTGCCCGAAGCGCGTTGACCCGCGTGATGGGTTGCGCCACCTGGGCAGCGAACGTCAACGAAGCTCCCAGCCTGCGCAGCCAGATGGCCTCGGGGGACACCTTCGGGAACTTCGGCGGCAGGGGGGGCTGAGAGCGAACCCACCTGGGGCGAGGAACCTGCGCTCTGCCGAGATGCTTAGATCGGTCGTCAGAAACCTGGTAGGCATCGCACCACTCCAGCTCCGCAGCACCGATGAACATCTCCCAGCCCTTTGATAATGTCCCCGCTTCTCCTGTCCCCGTGGGCATACACGTGCGAATATGCTCCCACATGCCGTTGAAGTCGGCCGATGCACATCCTGACGGTCTAACAGCAGGGAACGGGCGAGGCACAGGAATGACGCGCATCCACGGCTGGCACAACCCCGACTCCAGCGCCAAGGAGACGGCCGCGTGGGGACTCATCGGGATCGACGGCTCAGTCTGCACCTGCGCCGGCCTCAGGCGAGAGGAGACAAGGACAATATCGATCACACGACACGCTGGTGCGCGCGTGCCCACCTGCGGGGCCCACGCCGAGCAGGGTAGGAAATCGAAGATGACTGCCGCGCGCAACTCCTGCGGGGTGGCACTGAAACCGCCACCGATGATGAAGGGCTTGCCCATGCAGCTCACACGCTCGGCGATGTCCAGCTGTAGGCTCACATTGTCAGGTGACATGCCCTGACCCGCGTGCATGTAGACATTCACAGCGACAATGCCATGCTTCGCAAACCCTGAGTGACTTGCGAGCGAAGCCCTACCTGGTGCGATCATGGCCGTTCTGCTATCTTCAACGAACCCCAGATCATGTCGGGCAGGCACAAGCGTAAGCAGCCCGCCTGATCCAGGTTGCCCGTGCTCACGCCCGACAGCAGGAAGAGCGAAAGCGCGCCATCCAGCTTTGACGAGCTTGCCGCAAGAATAATCGCCTTGGCGCTGTCGCATGTGAGTTTCTTGCACAACAATCAGACCAGCCTGTCTAACCAAATCCATATCCAACAAAGGTACGAAACTGGAGTAGGCGTTCGCGTTAACTGTCAAGACCTTCCATGTACACTCACGCTGGAAGCCGCCCGCCGACACTGGGCCTGACGTTCCCGAAGGAGGCTGAGCATCGGTCGACGACCTCCCCTGGGAGGCGCGGGGGCTGGCCGTCGCCCCCACCTCCCCCGCCTGGCCGCTGCAGCCTGGCGGTTTGACTCCTTCACGAAGGGGATGTCCGTGTACATCGTCTCCTGAGCCTGGGGCAATGTCAGGGGGCTGCCCCCAACGCCCTGGCCCAGAAAGACGCGGCCCAGCGGCAGGAGGTGCGGCGCCCCCCGACTGTCCCGACTCGGCAGCGTTACTGCCCAACGGGCCGCCGCCTTGTCGGCCCAGGGGCTGTGCTCCTCCTGCAGACGACCCGATCCAGGAACTCGACGCCGAAGACCCAGTCGGCGCTGTATACCTTCTCCGACCTGCATCACCAGCGCGCGCGGGCCTGCAGCACGCAATCCTGATGTCGCCGCCGCAATACATCTCCTCGCCGCGCTG